ATTTTTTCAATTTGAATAATTTTGTTAAAAAGGCTTAATAGAACTTGATGCATTATATTACCTCCGTTTTTTAAAAGTTCATTAGTAATGCCATCCTCACCTGGGGCTTTGTTGTTTTTTGCAAGGCTCAGGGCTTCTTTAATAACATCAATATTTATCATTATCAATATATATTTATTATCAATATTTAGTATTAGCTAAAGTTTTGCATTTTTTAAATTTTCCTTTAGATGTTTTAGAATGTGTGAATTTTTGTCTTTCCCAAGATGTTCATCAATCCTAGTAATCGGCTTATAGCCTCTATATAGGAGAAATTACACCCACCACAATTTAATTTATACACTAGGCCTACCATGCGAAGATTTCGTCTTTGATACTAAACATATATTTTTGTATTGGTGAAAACAATGTTTACTTTGAGTCCAGTGCAATGTTTATTATCAATATTTTGTATTCATATTTAATAATATCAGAATATTTACCAATAAATGGAAGTTTAAAATACATTACTTTTTAAGCGTCATCATTGTTAACCTTTCATTTGGTATCGTTTGTTATACTATTATCAATATATTGTTTGCAAATTTTATCAATGACATATATGAGGGGTAACCATTTATTCCATTTAAACTTATCAGATCACAATGGAAGCCTTTCCAACTGTTGTTATTAATTTTGTAAACTCTTTCAGTGAATGTTTTAATTAGTCTCTCAATTTGTAAGTTGATAGAAAAAAAACTGCAAAATACCAAGAGGGGACCAGAAAGTGGTTTTCCTAAATACAGTTGTTTTAACTTGGCCGTCATTCTCTTTATGTATAACAACGTACGTCTAAAAAATGAGCCGCATTGAAATTTTCGTTTTCCATTGTGAAGTTTATAGTGTCAGAGTTAATAAATTTGAAAAACTCCGTGGCGTCATTTTAGTTATTGAAAACACAGAGTGTGTCATCAACATACCTGGATCAGAGAGCCATAGTTTTCATTGGTTCCCATGAGTAGATCTGCTAATATGAGGGCTAGTGGAGATTCCATACTGACACCATCATAATAATTGGACAAATTACAAATTTATTTTTCGCCTTTAGCACAATTCTTCACTTATTAGTATTATTAATATTATTATCTATTATCATTATCACTATCATTATCACCATCATCATCGTCATTATCATCATCAGATCATCATGTCATTATTATTATTATTATTATTATTATTATTATTATTATTATTATTATTATTATTATTATTATTATTATTAACAGTATTAAAAACTTTATAAAAAAAAGTATTCATTTTGAGTGACACAAGGGAAGAATTCGTATTGGCTAAAAACAAGCTTTAAAATATAACACCATGAACAAAGGAAGGGGAGGGGAGGCTCCCATGGCTCACCCTGGATACGTCTCTGCGATTCAGCGCACATACAGTGGCTACCACCAGTTTTGCCGACTGAGCCAAGCTGCTCTGTCGATTGAGAATAGTAACATTCGATTGAGAATAAACAGTATGACAAGACAAAACTGCACTGATAGACGAGCAGATTTAGTTGAAAAAATAGGCCTCCTTGAGTCAAACAAATTGCAAATGTTTGTTTTATTGTTGATTCTGGTTTATAAGGTTGTGCCGAATGATATATCCAAAATGGGAAGCGAGTTTCGACCACCTAGAAGTCACCTAACTTGCATAAATATGTAAATTAACATCAACCATTTTCGTTAAAATTAATTTATTATACTAAATACATATTTACGCATAATATTTATATAAATATATAATAATTATATCATTTCGATACATATTTAAACAGAAAAACAGGTCTGCCTATACTTTGTGTTTGTATTTAACATATTTCAATCTTTTTGCTTTATTTAAATACAGTATTATCAATTATTATCATAAACTTTAATGATTACATTTTTTTCATACCAGTATTTTTAAATAAATATAAAACAATTTTAATTAATTAAATATAAACTATGAAAGTAAATATACGTAGATCAGATCAATGAAAATGGACATAGTAGTAATCCTAATCTATTCATTAACACGAATAACATTTTTAATCTTCTGATCAATTTTATATAGCCGGAGTTAGTTTCGGCCTAGGCAAACATTTGCTAAAAAGGTACTCCTCCACCAAAAGGCTTTTTCTATGAATGGAATGACCTGTTCGAAACACCAGGGAACAGTTAACACGAACTCCTGTAGACCAAACCCAGTACCGTAATACGAATTTATTCGTGCGGGAAATCCACTCAGAATGATTGAGCATAACCTGCACGACGAACTGCACTACTGACTACTGAAGGCAGTAATGGCGTTCCATACAGGCTGGCATTGAAAGTTTGTAGCAGCTAGCAGCTCAATCTCGCTCGCATCGTCGTCGGTCATCATCCACCATAGCAACCTAGACTAGATAGCTAGGCGGCCAAGCCTAGGCTTAGGACCTACAGGCTACCTAGTCGCCATTCGTAAAACCACGTTTCGTAAGTAATTATTTTGAGCTGAATAGTCGACTGAACTCCTTAGCCTACCATTAAAATGTGCCTAGGCCTATTGTAGTAGCCTACCTAGGCTAGGCCTAGGGCCTAGGCCACCGTATGACTAGAACAAGCCAACCCAGGCCTGGCCTAGTGTAAGAAGACGAATTACAGACGATCGGGCCCAATTTTGAAAGTGGGCCTGATAGTCCTGAAAATGGGCCCAATATCTCGGAAATGGGCCCGATCGTCTGTATGTAAAGCAATAACACACCCCTCTACAAGACTACATGTCATCAGATTTTAACAATAACCAAAATGAATCTATAGACAGTTATAAAGTTAACTTGTGTTCGAATGTTGATTAATTTTCATGATGTTTGCAAATTAATAGATATTTATCCCTAACCTTAATTTGCTCTACCTAATTAACACAAAGCAATGATTGATAGATTACTGTCTTTGAAATTTGAAATTCATAAAAAAAATTTGGAAAGCTTACCTTTTACCAGGGAGTTGTTATAGTGACTATAAATAACAACTCCCTGCTTTTACATATTTTTGGCGATTTTGAAAATGAGGTTGGGTGCACACTTTTAACTTCTGTTTTGGTTTCACTTTCAGATGAATTTCTGTTGTTTTTAATAGACAATAAGTGCTATCTTGAATCTTAATCTTGAATCTTGTTGTTGTAGAATATTTATGGTTAAATTATGAAATAAAAACTTAATACTATTCTCAGCACAATGATTCTCTCTGTTGGAAATAGCCTGGTATAAATTATTATACTGATAGATACTGTAGATAGATAGGTAGAATAACATTATTTTAAAAGTTGATACAGTACAGACAGTAATCATTTCCCCATTGCCTATTTAAGGTGTGTTTTTGCATTTGCTGCATGATGATGAGTGGAAAATTGGAAAAGGTGCAGACACTAAGTGACCATCAAGAGAGGGTTTGGAACATTGCTTGGAACCCCACAGGAACACTCTTAGCCAGCTGTAGCAGTGATAAGACCATTAGAATTTGGGGTAAAGAGGGTAAGAATACTATTCATTGTATTTTAGTTTGTTATAGTAACTACATTTAAATAGCCTTGGTTTGTTGAGAACACCACCTGTACAAAAACAAATTCATAAAAATAAAAAAATCTGGCTGGATGGTTTTAACTCTGAAAAGTACTAATATACGTTGCATATTCCTTATTTCCATGTACAGTTAGAGTCTTCAAATAACACTTTGGCAGAATAACAATTCAGAGTTTATCTACACATTCCAAAACCTCTTCTAGTCCTAATTGTAATATTTTTCATACTGTCCAATGTATAATGTGGTATTACAGTATTTTATTGTTTATATTGTATTTACAGAGCCACGTTGCAAACTTGACTTGAATATTATTTATTACAATTTCCCAGCTGCGATCTACAAGCTTTCCTAGCTTAAACGACAGCTCCACTATGTCTGAGCATTTCCGTCATTTTATGAAGTGCCTGGATCTGCGTGTATATCCTATAGGTATCCAAAGTCTAAGGGTATGATACACACCTTGATAGCAAGAGGTTGCATGTTCAGATCCTGCTAGAGACACCTTCTTTTCATACAGGACATTTGAAATAAAGGAACTTTTCCTTGATGAGCTATGCTTGATACAATTATTACAACATGCTTCTGTTTGTCCAATGTTATCATTATTTCTTTTTGTAATATACTGTATAATATATATATGAATTATTCGAAGATTATTATTATTATTACAGCATTATTATCTCCGCCAGGAGATATATGTTTTTGTTTCTTGTGTTTGTTTGTGGGTGTGTGTGTGTGTGTGTAACGCTTTCTGTTTAAGTTTTTTTCTTGTGTACAAAATATCTCTAACCGGCTGCATATGTAAATTCCATTTCAAGGATTGTGAGGTACGACCAAAGGATGAGGTGATTAAATTTTGATGACTGTCCGGATTAGGGTGTGAATGTGAGGACCATTGAAAGGATTTTGTCCTAGACAAGATACTGTATCTCAATAACTAATCAACTGACATGAATGAAAAACTTTCCTAAAAGTTTAAAGAAGTTACAAGGAATAATTATCAAGCGCTGGTCACGATCCAAATTAGGGAGTGAACTTGAGGGTCATTTAAATATTTGAGGTCCTGTTACCAGCATACAGGGATTGTTTGGTATAACCCAAGGATGAGGTTATTAAATTTTGGTGGCCAACCAGCGTAGGGTGTGCATATGAGGACCACTCAAAGGAAAATGTCCCAGACCAGATATTTAAAAAAATAATCAAATGATATGATTGAAAACTTTGTGAAAGGTTTAACCAAGTTAAAAGGAAGAAATTGTGAAGCGCTGATGACGATACAAATACTGGGGTACATGTGAGGGCCATTAGGACCCACACCTAAATATCTCTTGATTGGATCAATGGTTGAAAATGACGCTTTCCATAATAGTTAGTCATGCTTTAATAAAGAAGTGTTTAAATTTTGGAAGGTGTGGATATGAGAACCATTTAAAGAAAAATATACCGTATTACCCGTAAGTTGAAACAATAGCTATATGATAAATATTTTAATTAGTGCAGTTATAGTAAATGTGTACAGCGTTCTATGTACTAACTTCACTTTTTGGGAATACTTTTAATGCATCTTTACATTTTAACATGTGAAGCTAAAAACCAAATCCCCATATTTCTATTTCCATGATACTTCCATTTCAACACCAATACATTGCACGCATTTTGTTTGTCAGCTATAAAGGGTAAAACGTGCTAGTATGTTAATTCAGAACATGTAAAGAACTGAGGTGTTCAACTGATACAATGGAAGAAGGCGTTCAAAAAATGAAGTGATCTTATTTTGGTGCCAATACATATGCACCCTTCAAAGCAAAACGTCGCAGATCAGATATTTCAAAAATTGATCAACTCATTTAAGTCAAACTTTCGTGTTAGTATAACTTTTTTAAAGTAAGAGATTGGCAAGATTGTTTATTAGATCTAACTTTTTTTAAGTAGATTGTGGTTGGTGGTAGGAATGTAGAAACATATTTTTGAGGAATTATTTTATAGAAAGATTGGCGAGTTATGGTGTGTTTTTGAAGAGGAGTGGAGCGAAATGAGTTGAGGTGGTAGTGGTTGAAGTAAATTAGGAACTTTTTTTTTGGGAGGTTTATTTTATAGAAAGGGTTTTGCGGTGGGTGGAGATATGGTCTCTACTGAGTGCTCTTGTTTATTATAATTTCATAGGAGATAAATGGATTTGTAAGACAGTACTGCAGGATGGACATACTAGGACCATTCGAAGGGTAGCGTGGTCACCATGCGCCAATTTTCTTGCCTCAAGCAGCTTTGATGCAACCACATGCATATGGGATAGACGTGGTGGTGAGTTTGAATGTACTGCTACATTAGAAGGTCACGAGAATGAAGTTAAATGTGTCGCTTGGGCACCATCTGGTAATCTGTTGGCTACATGTAGTCGGGACAAGAGCGTGTGGATATGGGAAGGTAAGACAATATATTTATTGTCTTAAAGATCTTGGAACATGGTATTCAAATATACAATTTTAGTTCATATTTTAGCCTTTAATTTA